GATGAATTAATTGTCAGTGAAATAGCATAGATCCAATTATTCTGTAATACTAAGAAATCAGAATCTGATATAAGTCTAAACAAATAAGTTCAAATTTTAGCATCATCAGATAATAATGCATTAAATAAATTACAAATTTTACATAAGCAACTATATTAGATTCAAATCAGATTTTATAAGGGTAAAATTTCAAAATATTTTAATGTGGCTTCGTGATGGTGAATCTACTATTGAAGATTGAAAAGTACTTAGTACTCGATTTAAAAGTTCATCAAGTACAATATCTATAGATAATAACCAATTCTTAAATGCTATATATATATTACCGCAAAAGATCGAAGTTGCTGAAATTAATATAAACATGTTAAAGTCATTGAATAGGCCTATTGCTAGAATTCGTGCAGTTCACACTGGTGGAACTGAAGCATCAAAGGCTGATTCAGATATAGCAAAAGGTCTTGAATCACAAATTCTTTTAGCTAAGGGTGCTCATGTTATACTTAGAGCTAATTTGTGTATAGAAGCCAGTTTAGTTAATAGTGCAATAAAAACAGTTCAAGACCTATTTTTCGAAGAAAATCAGGAACCACCTTCTCTTCTTCTTGCTGTTTTTATAGAGTTCAATACCTACAATAGTCCTGCAATTATATCTACAGAAGGTAAAAGAACTATCCCAATTATACCTATTTGATGTTTATAGGATACAAATACAGAAACCTGCTCACTATTACAAATCTCTTTTAATCTCGCCTGGGTTATTACGATATATAAGAGCCAAGGATTAATACTGACGAGTACTAAAATAAATCTTGAAAACAAAGAATATGCTACTGATCTTTTATTTGTGGCAATTTATTGGGCCTGTACTCTAAAGAATATCCTTTTTGATTTGTTTTTACTAGAAAGGCTTCAAAGAATTAAGTATTATAAAAGATTGCAAGAAAGAAAAAATAAAGAAAAATACTTATTCTCTTTGATAGCATAAGTTAAAACAATTTCAATTGAATTTAGAACTATAGTGTCCATTTTCCTTAACCGCTATACCTTATACATTTTAATTAAAATAAATATGACTACTGTTAGAATTTTCATAAAAGCAATAAAATAATTGATTATCTTGTTACACAGCAACCAGATGTGTTACAGTCGACTTTGAGTCTAACAAACCTGAATAAAATATACAATTTTGGTTTTTCTGAATAGTTCAGTATAAAAAGTAGTAATTTCTATAACAAAATTTTTTTTTTTTTAGTAGTTTTAGTTCGGTATAGATGAAGTTTACTGTACTTACATACTTGTTGTCTTAGAGTTGAGAATTTGTTTGAGTATGTTAAAATTCTTAAAAAAAGCTTTTAATATATATTGAAAATAAATACCAGCACCTGATTCTAATTTAAATTGTATTTTTTATATATATACAGTAATTAAACCTAGCTATTATTGTATATAATCACTTCAGTATAAAAGTTTAAATATTAAAAGTTACAAAGCAAATATTCCAAGCGGTTGAATACTTTTTTTTTGTTGGGTAATTAATAATTTTTCTGTATAATGTAATAGAAAGACTTTCATATATTTGGTCGTTTAATTATCATTATGCTTTTAAAGTAATTTTTTAAGATATTATTTTGTAATTAAACAAAAATTGATTTCGATTGCCATTATAGGTCTATTAAAGCTAGATGCATTTGCATAAACTTGAAAATGATCTACATGCTATATAAATTATCTTGATATTTACATGAACCACTAACCATTACTGCAATAAAAATGTAATACTAACTGCACCTGGCTTTAATATTTTTCTATAATAGTAAAGTCTTACCACTCTTAAATTTTTCATTTTATTAAATAATAATATTATAAGAGTTTTGTTTTTAAAAAATATTAATGCTATTGTAAATATTTATTAATTAAATTAGTTTTTAGATTTTTTGTTTCAGACTTATATCAGATTCTGATTTCTTAGTATTACAGAATAATTGGATCTATGCTATTTCACTGACAATTAATTCATC